GCCGACAAATTCGACCTTCGGAGGACCCGTCCTGCCGTTTTGGACACAGCCTATGTCTTCTCAGTTTGTCTGTAAGACACCAACAGGTATCTGTGCTCTACTTTTACACACTAAAAACTACTGTTTCATCTATCTACACACACACACACACACACACACACACACACACACACACACACACACACACAGTATGTGAATACTCTTTTAGCTTTCAGAGAATCCCATCAGGCCTACAACACTCAGTGTTAAAGCTGAGTTAAAGCTAATTTTTTAATCTCTCTAGTTAAAGCTAATCCTCAAAGTGTGATCAAATCTGAATCCTTCTTTATGCCAGCTTTGATCCAGATAAGCTCCAGATGATGTGAGTGTGTGTTTGTCAGAACCTGCTGTGCTCTTCTGCCTTGCAGGGGAACCAGATGACCCTGGTGTTCATGGAGAGAGAGTACTCCTCACCTGAAGAGCCTCACCTGGGAATAGTTCACATAGTGGAGGTACACAACTCAGTCCAGGAAATTCAGTCGACAGTTTCCCACTTTTTTTCCCCTCTTCTCTGTGTTTCTTGTGACCACCCTTTGTTATAAGTTCTTTACTGCCACAACCTTTTGTTTAACTTTTGAAATAAATACTAGAAACGTAGGCCTTCTGAACCTCTGAGTCAACATGAAGCAGTCTGTTCCTTCTCCAGTTCTGAAGACCCTTCCATGTGAATCAGGACCCATTTTAAGCCTTGACTTAAGAAAGTTGATCTATTAGTTTAACACGGTACTGACTCTGAAAATCAGAGCTGTTTATTCTTCTCCTTCCCTTCTTTTGTGTTTCCTCACAGGGAAGTTTCCGTCACGCTCAGACAGGGAACTCTGTGTCTCGGGAGGAGCTGATGATGGTTTTGGTCGACCTGGAGTCTCTGCAGGTCCGAGCGCTCCACTCTCAGTCRGCCCACTCGGTGTCACTGCGCGGCGCTGTGCTGGAGGGGGCCGAGAACCTGCCGACTGGACGTCACGCCAACAACGTGGAAATCTGCACGTGTCCCGCCAATTACCATGGAGATTCATGTCAGGTGGGGAACCAGACCAGGTGGAACTTAACCTCATTATTGTTGATGTAACAATAATTCCTAAATGTGGTTAATTAGGGCTGCGCAGTATATGTGATAGACAGTAGAAACAATATGAAGTTGGCCTACAGTAGAAATTTACCCTCTACAATGCTATCATCATTACGTCATCGCACCTGTGTCAACAGGGCTGCGAGTGCAGAGACGACTGAGCAGGAGGAGTTCAAATATAATGAAAATAAATGAAGAAATATAGTGTATTAAAACACGTATAGAGAGAATAAATCCTAAAAAATCCCCCCCCACGCTGTAGAAAAGTTACTCCTCCCTCCCACTGCACATCACGCAGAGCGAAGCTTTAACARCCGTAGTTTATTTCACATCCTAGTTGTTGTAGAATAAAACTTGTTTTTTATGTATTGTTACCCACAGAGGTGATAAAACAGGATGTGGACATTTGTTCAGTCATAAATCCATCTTGCTAATGAGTCGCTTCTGCTCTGAGCGCAGCAGAGCAGCAGTGGGTCAGTTCAGCTGGCAGAAGCTCATTGTATGGCAGGCAGATATTACATTTATTTGGCTTCACCACACTTAACTTACAGTTATCTKAAATTGTTTTATGACAGGACTATGTGCAGCTTAAGCCACTTCAGGTCCTGCCACACTATAATATTTTAGGCGACTTATGCCAACTTGTCATTTTTATGTCTAAATGACTAATATTACTTGAAGTACTGGTTATAACATGCACTTTATTTTTACATTGTTGAAAATTTGAGAAATGATTTTGTTTGTTGTTGAAACCGTTTTGCAATATATAAAAAACATTCTTTTGTACTTTTGTTATGTTCATTTGCACTACAGCAAAAATACTGGGTTTGATTATGATTACAGCTTTCTGCCAAATAAAAGCTCAAAAAATTACATTATCTTTGATTTTTATGATAATTTTCTGTCGCGATATATACAGTTACTGTGAAGGGATTCAATTTATACCGTGATATGAATTTGAGGTCATACTGCCCAGCCCAATGGTTGATGTTCTACTGCAGTGCCATCATTTTCAAAAGTAGACCATCAGTTCTAGAGGTACTATTGCATCTGTGCATATAAATAAATAAATAACTAAATAAATAAATAAATAAATACATAAATAAATAAATATATATATACAGTATATATATATATATAC